ATCTTTGTTCATATAATTTAGTCTTTATTCTTTATTACCTTTCCGCAAGTATGAGTATGATGTCATTATCCAAAGAAGTGTGTTCAATTTGGTGTTTGACGATAATTGGAATTATATATTTTTTGTCACTATACTATCATGAATTAAAACTGATTTTATTAATAATATTTTGGCTTACTTGTGTTAGACTTATTACTCTGCCTTTACTGTCTTAATAATTCAACTTTAAGGCCATGACGATGAGACTGATCGAGCTGCACTTGCTCAGGCTTCCATCACCAAGCTAGCTGATGCTCTTTCTCAGGTTCCACGTGAAGTGGCCAAGGCATGGTACTCTATGATCTCCCAAGTCAGTGTCAATGGACTCCACAAATTTTGTCGGACTGTTGATTTGTCAACAGCATCTGCTGCCCCAGCTTCCCTCATGAATATGCCTCGTGATGGCTCTCCCAATGCTGACACAGGCACTGATGGTTATACGAATGAGGCATCGCCAGTGCTTTCACAGCATCATCGCATCTGCGAGGCTTGCAAATCTTGTCACCTTCCTAAAGATTTGCCTTCCGACTTACGTCTCCAACTGGCTGTGCTTTACGGACCCGACTACGCTTCGCGCATCCTAGATAGTGGGGTATGCTGTATTCGAGTAGACGAGTCTCATCCGTTACTAGCTGATATCGTCGGTTGCGAATCAGCTAACTCTGTCGATGCTGCTGTTGGCCAGGAGGTCTCTTGTGTCTCTGTTAGTGGGAGCCCACATGGCTCTCGGCTAGACGGTGCTGCACAATCAGGTCATACAGATGAAATACTCACTGCTGAACAATACGCAGATGCACCCTTGTTAAGTCCAATGCCTGGTTCTTGCCTCTCACACTCGTCAGTCGAAGCCTCTTCGCTTTTGGCTCCTATCTTGGAGCCAGCTGCGCCATTTGAACAAGCCTCGCCAGGTTTAGCCACTTGTAGCTCCACAGCTCTACATTCAAATTCCGCCTCCTATTCTCCTCCACTACGAATTTCTCGTTCATCTGGCAGTTGTAGATCGGGCCCAAAGCGCTCGACTAGCGTAGCTGAACGAGTTTCTGAGGAAGTTATACCAATTCGATCTTCCCTGGAGCCTGTTCTTCCTAAATCTACTCCACCCAATCAGTTCTCTTCTGCTCATGCAGATGTTGAGCCTTATGAATCAGTTGCTGCCATAGAAACGCAAACTTTAACATCAGCTCTACGTTTATCGAAGGAATTAGCTTGTACAAAGAAGACGGAAGCTGCCTCACTTCCGAGGTCTTCGCATATTTCTCGCTTAAATGCAAATCTTGATCATGGAGCCTCGTCTACGGCCATTATTAACCCTCCCCATCATATCGCCGAAATTACTCACTCACTTGCAAAG